TGTGTGTGTGTGTGTGTGTGTGTGTGTGTGTGTGTGTGTGTGTGTGTGTGTGACAGATAGAGTCCAACAGTCCACTCCAATGCATGAGTGGCTTGGAAAGGTGCCAGCATGCAAAAACCTAGCAACAAGATTTGACTTGGCCTGCTGAGAGAGAGTGAGAAATAGAGAGTGAGAGAGCGAGCGAGCGAGAGATCTGGCATGTGCACAGCATGGGCATATGGATCTTTGTTTGTCCGTTTTGGACCATTTAGTCATTCTGTCACTCCAACTGGACTACTTAGCGAATTGGTGCTACTTGGTTCTGAATCGCACACACACACACAAACGTATTTGCAAAGACACACATGGGTGAGCCGAGCCTTGACTCTACTGCTTTACAGTCTGTTACTGTTCACATGGCCTGAATGAAATAAAAAACCTTTTCCAATTAATCCTTTTAACCAACATGTGTGATCCCTGGCTCACGCTGATGTGGCCTTCAAGCTAACCGAGTCTATGCCAAGTCAAGTCACTTCATAGCCCCTAGAGCCTTTGCTGACCATCAGCACTGATCAGCTATGAAGGTAGCCAGCTCCAACATTGATTTCCATTTACTTCTGAATCCAGTTAAATATATGTGGGGTTCACTCAAAGGCCTGTTTTTTGTTTGTTTTTCTTTTGCTTCTTACAGAGTCTGACAATTTCTAGCTGGACTTATAAAAGATTATTTGAAGGTGCAAATATTGTTTGCTGAAATATAAAATACTGTATTTAACCCCTGTGTACTTTTTGCTTTAAAAAATAACCCTCAAAATCCATACCTCTAATTCAAACTTTTTCCTTGCTGACAACCCAGTTTGGTGAGCAGCGGTTTTGTCTTGGTCTGTCTTCCATGGATGCCATTTTTGCAATGTCTCTTTCCTATTGTTTAATCATGAGCACTGATCAAGACGAGTGAGGCCACCAGTTCTTTAGATGTTCTTTTGGACCTTCTGGATGACTCATTGATGCACTCTTGGAATAATTTTGGTTGGCTGGCCAAAAAATAAATGGTTCTTACTGTGGTTCACTGGAGTTCCAAAGTCTTAGAAATGGCTTTCAAACCCTTTCCAGACTGATAGATGACTTTGTTTCTCAGCTCTTTCCTAAGGTTGTGGCATGTTGTGTTGCTTTTTTGGGATGTTTATTTGTCAGACAGATTGTACTATTAAGACATTTCTTGTTGAATCAAGCAACCACTTTATGTGGCAGTAAACACGCGCTTTCCAAAAAAGAAAAAAAAGGTTAATTGCAGTTAATTCATGATTTAACTACTTATTTGATTGCTTTTTTGCACAAGGCCAGGTAGGTTTGGTTAACTTTTTTTTAATCTCATTGAATTAAATCATCATTTAAAAACTGCATTTTGTACTTATTCAGACTAACTAAAATTTGTTGATGACTTTAAACATTTAAGTGGGTCAAATATGCTTCACTGCACTGCAGGTCCATTTTTGCACCATCCAGTAAGTATAAATAATACCTGTGAGCTAAAATTCCATACTTTA